TACAATTTTACGAAGCGTAAGAATTAAGTAACCAACGGTCGCTAAATTTGGCAGGCAGACGACAAAGCGAGCGTTTTTTCCGCCCCGTTTATGTCGTCTCTTCCTTTCCTTCGCCATTTGATTGTGCCGTCAAGGTAATTGGACTTTTCTTTTATAATATATAACGCGTGAATGAGATCCGCTTATAAACGTTTTGTTTCAGAAAAGCTTTAATTACGCAGTCGTATTCCCTTTTGAGCCGAAGCCTCGCTCAACACCAGCCAACACAAGCCTTGCAGACACATATGCCGGCTGTGTTCCAATTCTTAGACAGCACGTAGACAGTCTACGCAGACTGCTTAGAAGACCGCACCGAGCCCATGCTGTCCGAGAATCGAAACACGTTTAGACAGCTTTTACGCGACGATGCGCCACCTTGCGTCTAGAGAAAAAAGCTAAAAGAAACAAACGTAACAGTTGTAATTTCTGGCTCATTTCGTGTTGAAATAAAAAAAAATACATGTTACTCACAATGAGTGTCTGGGAAAGCGTCTACTTGTGTGCAGACGGCCATTCTGGCGAGATTTGATCTATCTGAGCGATTCGCTGAGCCGCCATCTTGTTTAGACAGCAAAGTAGCCTACATCGTAATTGTCTACGATGCGGTCTTCTCGGAGCTGTCTACTTTGCCGGCTACGTGAGAATTGGAACGGGACTTAAGATGGCCGCTGTCCATTTAGCTGTCTATTTAGCCGTCTACGGTGAGTATTGGAACACAGCCACCGTCATTGCCAGCTCTCCAACACCGCCCCTTAAGAAATTCGCATAAATGGTGGCGCCACACTTTCCTCTAGGTATTTGTAAGAAACTCTATGCATTGATCCGAGGCGGGCGGCAGCCTTTTAGATATGTGGGGTTTAACGTCCCAAAACCACCATATGATTATGAGAGACGCCGTAGTGGAGGACTCCGGAAATTTTGACCACCTGGGGTTCTTTAACGTGCACCCAAATCTGAGCACACGGGCCTACAACATTTCCGCCTCCATCGGAAATGCAGCCGCGGCAGCCGGGATTCGAACCCGCGAGGCAGCAGGCTTTTTGCCAGCAACGAACGATTGTGTTGCGTAGCGGAAGTCGCTGGCTGCCATGCGCTGATTGGTTCTGCACTCGTCGACTCGCTTCCGGCGTCGGCGCAGCAGATATCTGAATCGTCCCGAAGTGGACATTTCGGCCACCGTCACTGGCAGCGTCGACACCAAGTGACGCCGGCGTACGAAACGCCGGAAAAACGCTGCACATGTTTCGGGCTTTATGCCACCACATGAAACAATATCGTAGCTTAAGCTGAACGCGTAACACAGCTTCCTCTAAATAAAAACCTTTCTCCATTTCTATCATTGCATGTGTGACAGATTTGATGACAGTGAATACTTCCAAATTTGCATATTGTGAGTGAACGCACTGCTGGCACCTAGAGTGTTCCCTAGCTTTCTTTTTCAGAAGCTCGGCTTGTACAACATTGTTCGGCTGCTTATAATTCCCGCTGTACTGAAAGGGGCTCACCATGGCAGTAGTGTTGAAATTGATTAATGCATACGTGCTGTATCAGTATATTGAAATGAAGGTGACGGTATATTTATCACACGGCACAAAAAAAAGAAATGCAGAACTGCAAAACAACATCCCAGCATGAATGTTCAGGCATGTCTTTTTTCGTGTGTATTGTGCTCTTTGCCCATTTGGACGCAGTGCATACCTGTGGCGAAAACACGCGTACACAGATGCCACCACAGAGCATTTCAGTCGGGCACTCAACACGACAGTCGCATGCTCCTAACACAACTAATATTCCGCTGGCATTTGAACACACAATCACTGTAGTACTGGCCAGAGTTTAGAAAAATTGAAGGTACTGTAAACAGAACTGCAATATATCCGAACCAAGCTATTCATGCACAAGCTTACAGCGCAGTTCCGGGCTCGTATCACCCCTGCGGAAAAGTGTGGCACTCATGTGACTTTTTTTTCCCTAGTGGTTGTGCATTGACTGATCGAATGTTTCTTGTCCGCTGCAAAGAGCGATACTGACTGCACCAAGAACGCTGAATTCTGAGCAGTTAAATCCACGAACAGCTGATGTTTCGGCATGATGCCCGCGCTGAGCATGGCTAAAAGCAAGTTCCGATGCTGTTGTTCCTTATCGAGTTTAATATCAGCGGTTGAGATTATCATTTGAATCAGTTTGCAACAGTAAAATTAAGCACTGACATGAATCTTGTACAGTCCAGCATATGTTTTCGAAGCGGATGAATGTGGCTCCTTGGGACTCGCTGTCTTGTTCCGTGTCATCGCTCTTACATTGGCGACTGGCTAGAATATGTAAAGATGTACAATGAGCTCGTTACGACTTCTACAGTTCGCCACACTAACGGCAACTGGTCGATTTTAACAGATAAACCGGGCATCGACTACAGCGAGCGCAGTCAGCTCCCGTCGAGCGTGTGATGTCATGGAGCTGTGACCAATCACAGGTGGCGGCGAAACTCGCGATAGCGGCCGCGGGGCCTGTTGCTTGTTTTCGCAAAATATTGTGATTTGCACTTGCTTATGCAAATTTTCAAGTGTATTTTTTTTATTCACCACATCAATTTACGTATCAAGACACCACAACCTCGTTTTTTTCATGCTCGCACGTTGGCGGGCATGAGCGTGGGATCCCAGCGGTGAGTAGCACTGACGCGCTCGTACCACTTCAGCCAAGTGTCAAGATCAATCGTACCATCACCGGAGAAAGTGCCGGGATCCCGGAGGTGCGGGAGTGTGACGTAGGTGGTGGCTTGGACTGATGAAGGCGGCGTAGAGGAAGTACCAGCAGTCGAAGCAGTCGAAAGGTCGCCGAAGGGGTGACCGCTGCGCGTCTCCATCGAGGTACGGGGGTCGTCCACCTCCACCAATAATGTTACGAGTAACTTGTTTAATGATCTATTTACAGCGCACAGAACTCGACGAGCAAGATGGCGCCAGACCAGCATCCAACGAAAGCTCACTTCGTCCTCCTCTTTCATGCAGCCGTGTTTAGCGGCTGTTTTGTATCAATATGAACACTCAAGAAAAAAAAAAGCCGCCCTCCCAGCTCATCTCTCATGCCCATTTTGCCCCGCGGATGAAGGGGCGGGGGGGGGGGGGATAAGATGCTTGTGCGCGCACGCTTACCCTTTGGTGGGGAGAATGGTGTGCCTTCGGAACGATTGTGTTAGTTACCGGGCCCACAAAGGTCACTTCTATCTCTGCACAGGCCCCGTTTGCGAAAAGAGCACGCTTTTCATACACAGCGAGGTATAACAGCTGGCACACTTGTTGGTTTGTATTCATGTGTACCTGTGATTACGTATCGTGCATCGCTTTTGTTTAAACAGTATGTTACATGTCCAGCGGTAAACGTTGTTAGTTCGCTCTTGTCCTGTGTGTATGGTTTTCGTGCATCATTTGTGCGTGAGCAGCGCCCTGCACGTTTCGATCTGCTTGCCGTTCTCAGCATGACACTCCAATTTGTTGCTGTCGCACTCATTGCTCCGCCCTTACGGCGAAACTGTGACTTTCTTTTTTTTTACGTATTTACAACCTTTAAGCCCAAACCACATAAGCGCGAAAATGCACGCGACAGCGAGGAGTGACGCGACGTAGATCGGCGTCGCGCGATCAGTCGCTAGCGCAGGCAAACCTCATTCACGCGACGGCTTCGGCGAGCGAATTGCACTGTTGCTGGCATGAGGCCGTCAACTCGCACCAAGAAAACCGCGTAGCGAGCGGTATGCAATTTAAAAATAAGATATATTGTTGTGTAATGGAACGGAAAGTGTTTATTATTGCCTTGCAGCACTTTTTTATATGCACATGCGTAATAAACATTGCGTTATTTTTTGTTGCGCATACGTGTCTCGGGCAGGGTCCCGTGCACCGATGTAGTCTTTGTCTTTTCCGGTTTTTCGCTATTGGCTGCTTGAGCCCAGCACTTCCGGGCGATGAGCGACGGTTTCCAAATCTGGAGAACCGAGCGATCGCGCGAAAACGAGCATGCGACACGCCGCGCGAACGCCATGTTTCGTCACTCATAGCGTCGCTCGTCGCTGTCGCGTGCATTTTCGCGCTTATGTGGTTTGGCCCTTTATCTACCGTTGTGTGCCCTCGGAGCTCCTAGATGCTACCCCGTTGCCGCGACCACGGTTTCGCACGCCTCGGTTGTGGCAAACGGTAGTTCCTTTTACAATCCCCGTGTGCTTGGCTACGCGCGCGCCTTCATAACTAAGTTGTTTTATGCCATCTACGATCGCATCTGCCGCAGTTTTGTCTGCAGATTTCGCAGAAAGCAGCGTTGCTTTGACTGGCTAAGCGCACACTTTCGGGGTTCTGTCAGTTACGTGATCGCCATACGTGATCGTGTCAAGAGCGACCGCGGTTTCGGCCACAGCGGTTGTGGTAAACGACAATCACACGCACTGTAGAAAACAGAGCGTGCGCCGGTCGCATGTGTAATTTCAAAGCTTCGAGTACGCTGCTCTCAGTCTTCATTCGGCGGTTTCCGCACTAAAGTTTGCATCACCCACCACGATAAGGGAATGTTTTCGGAACATTCAAATTTAGATACCAATGAACATAGTGGAATTTGGCAGGGGATTTTGACGAATTTGTATCTGCCGTGGTTTCACATCACTGAGATTCTACTGTACGTTTAGATGAATACCTTTGAAACTCATTTATAATAAAATGAGGCAGGTTCGAAAAGCCTAGAGCAGATTGAGCTACTTTTTTGTCAGTGCCGCCAGATCACCCACAGAAATTTCGATTGCCGGGAGATTTTCATGACAACCGTACAAACGGAAGAAACGGTTGAAATCCTGGAGACTTGGCCGGCATGTGAAATTCTTTGCCAGTTTTTACAATCCAAGCAGAGTTGCACTTTTACCATATACTAATTTGCATAGACATCAGCCAGTGTTCCTGGAGCTGTATGAAAAAAATCTAAATAGTATATGTTGAAGCATATTGCAAGGAAGAAGGAAACTTGAAGTGAAAGAAAGGTTCCTTTTCCTTCCCAAGAGTGAGGAAACTACATTGGAAAAGGAACGTTAGACATTCCACCAGGTTCAGGCCTCTCGACTGCAAAGAAAAAAAAACAATATGCACACGAACAGTTTCGCATGTTATACCTCTAGAACCATATCCCAAGACTTGTAAGACAGGAATATGTAGGATACGTACACATAGTCGGCATGAGCAGACGTGATGATTCAGCAAACCACTCATGCATTTACAGTGGTTACAAATAACAAGACAACACTTTTCAGAAGCTACTCTAATTCTTAACCCACAATATAGACTTAGGATGCTCAGAAACTGGCTTACTAGGCGACTACAATTCAGTTTTATGTAATTGCACATGAAAGATGTTTGTTGCTGGTTTCATTTCAATTTTTCATCACTGCACATGTGTGTAACTTTGCAAGTACATGTACCAAAGGAATAATCCAAGAAGTAAAACAATATAGAATGAAAAATCGAGCTATTTGGTATGGATTCATGCAGAAAAAGAAGTCAAGTGAAATGGCTCTTTTAAGTATCAAAGAAAAAATGCTTCAAAATTTCCAAGACAAAAAGTATACTCTACGGATATTTCTTCATTTAAAAAGGCATTTGACTCTATTAAGCATGATATATTATTAAAAAAGTTAAGCGAATATGGCATTAGGGGTCTTGCTCTCAACCTTATACGTAGTTATTTGACAAACCGCTACCAGTACACAGACACCAATCATTCAAAATCAGTTCTGGGGGAAATTAAATACGGGGTTCCTCAGGGTTTCATCCTTGAATCACTTCTTTTCTTATTATATATAAATGATATAGTGAATATTGCGTTGACGCCAGATATCATTCTTTACGCGGACGACACAAATGTATTTTTTTCAGCAAAGCATCTCCATATGCTTCTACTGCAGGCTAGTAAATGGCTCAACAATTTGGCTGAGTGGTTAAATGTAAATAAACTTGAACTAAATACCAAGAAAACTGAATAAAAAACTTTTCGCTCCAGAAATAAGACTGTCGGGAATGACGTACACTTGAAATTCCGTGGCGAGAACATCGAGCGTGTAAGAATACATAAATTTCTCGGTGTTCTTTTCAAAGAAAACCTCAGCTGGTCTCCTCATGTCGATAACCTCACAAGACGCATCTCACGTTCAATGGGTATTATAAGTAGAGCAAAGCAACTTTTGCCCCGGTGGTTAAAAATTCAGCTATTTTATGCACTAATTGATTCTCATTTACAATACTGCCTTGTTGTGTGGGGAACAACAACAAAAAGTAATCTTAGAAAGCTGCATATTCTACAAAAATGTATTTTGCGAGTTACTGAAAATGTGTCATATATAACTAACTCCGCTCCACTTTTTAAAGCAAATACCATATCAACAATGAAACACATACTGGAAAAGAAGCTAGGCATCGCAATATTTCAGAAAATAAAGTCATGTCAGGACAACTTTTATCGACAATTCCTGGGAAAGGGACATACTTACGAAACTAGGAAAACTATATATGATAAATGTTTCATACGAACAAACCATGGCATGCAAAAACAATCTTACGCTATTGCAGATTTCTTAGATCATCATCCTGCCGTCATAAACTTGGTACAGGAAACAATGCACATGAAATACTTTAAAAAAAAAGTTAACTTCATACCTCATTTCAATATAAAAATAATTCTGTTTTTTTTACCTTGCTGCAGTCTATACTGTAAATTCACTTAGAAAATTTATCCGTTTTATAAGTAAATAGAACAATGTATATATCTATAGAATCCTGTATATGTTCTGCCTAACGATGTATAGTATATGTAATCCTTTGTATGTGTTTTTGATTATCTAACTGTCACTGATGTTTGAGTTATGTGTCTCTAGGAAGGGATGTGACACTTAGTCAGGCACTCGTGCCTTTTTGTCACACTTCCTAGACAGGACAAATGGACACATTATTTGTCTTTGTCTGAAATAAATGAAATGAAATGAAAGACTGGACAGCACTCGCAAAAAACGATGAGGCATGAGAGAACTGCGCACAACAGCTCGCGTGTGTGTGTGAGAAAGAGAGAGAGCACTGCACAGTTTTAGTTTGAAGTGAGACCATGGCCATTATACTTTCTTTCCAATTACATTCATTTACAACAGTGAAAAAAACAGCAAAAATATTATGCAAAAAAAAAAGCTGGGGAGGCGCAAAGCATGTAGGGAAAGATGTTTCAGTTCCATTCCCATGGGGAGGGGGCGAAGCATGCAGTGTTTTTCTAGTTTTTTTGTTTCCCTGCATGTTTAATTTCCTACAGCAGGTAAGTAAAAGTGTTTCAGCTCCAACAACATCGTCAGCTATTTGCTGGGATAAATTTTGCCTTTTTCATTTTTAGTGTACCAGCGGTGCGTACATTCGAGTTTACCTATAATAATACCGTTTATTACAATATATCAGATATAGTGATGAACAACGATGGCAGCATCCCCTTTTGTATGCTTTTCATGGTAAAATAGCCGCTTATTACAATGCTCCAGCGCCGTGTTACCAGATATAGTGATCAAATTTTACAGTGCGTGCTGCAAACGGGCCTCTGCACCGACCAGGTGCTTCAGATAGTAATGAAAGTGACAACTCCAACGACGTAGTTGAGGAGCCTACGCAGGCACTGTCATCGCAGAAAGCTGAGCAGATGACACAGTCCCTCCGGAAACTTGTTTTCGCAATGAACATAGAGCAGCTAAAAGCTCATTCGAAGAGCTGTGCCAGCTAAACATGCAGCCATTAATGCTGACAGACTGACTGCCTTTTCTGCAAACAAATATTAGTACATAGTTGCATTACCTTCATCATTGTCATCAGCCCGACTACGTTCACTGCAGGACAAAGGCGTCTCCCATGTTACATCAGTCAACTCAGTTTTGCACTTCAGTTCTGCTGATATATACCCGTAAATTTCCTAATCCTGCACTACCTTGCTCGCATGCAAATGAAATGTTTTCATCTCTTGTGTATTTGTTTTGTCAAGCCACATAACAATTATCGGTTATAAAGATAAGATCTCCTTTGCACTTGTACATCGTTATAAATGTACTGCACTGTAGTAGGGATTACCCAATTTTCGTGGCACATACCCGTTTTTACCATGGACCGTGACTACACGACACACAGTGACAACGTTAGATGCCGACAAGCCAAGACCCTAAAATCATTCGCCCTGACATGGTTGCGTCACAAGTTTCCCATCGTGCAATAATTATTGTCATCTGGCTTGTTCGAGTCTCTTTGGATACTGTGCGTCCACTTTTTGCCTACCAGGAATGCTATGTTAGGACCCCAGTGGGCACACCATTCGTGACCAAAAAAAGTATTGGGTGTGTGGCAACAATGCAAGCAAAGCACACGAGACAGACGGTTATTGCTGCGTGACAAAAAAAATGTATTAAATACACTTTTTACCCTCTTTTTCTTATAGTTTTTCTAAGAAGGTATTACTCTAGACACCCTATGGTTGACAAAAGGTTTGGGCAACAGAAAGTATGTGTGTAGGGGGGAGGGGGGCTACCCCCCAAAAAAAGATGGCTTTAGTAACAAAGTCGTTTCTGGGATAACAGAACAGCAAAAGCTAAAGCTCTTCTTAATTGGTTTTATGTGTCATCTTTATGAATTTTTAAACAATACGGTTGTCAGCAGTAATTTGCATAGGTAAGTTAGGTTTAGATTAGTTCCTGTAGTGTACAGTGCTTCAGAAAAAAAATTTCAACGTGGCTGGCACCTTCTTTTGTCACAGATACACTGAAACCTTGTTATAACGAAGTTGAAGAGGAGCTACAATTATTTTGTTATATCCATTATTTCCTTATATCCATTATAACAGTTTGTGGCAATGTATGCTCAGATGGGCACACACCTATAAGCATGCAAAGAAGGAAACCGCCTTGCGGCCCGATGTACCACTACGCGACCACACATGCGATGAAAAAAAAAAACACAGTTGAATCTCATTAATTCAAATACACTTAATTAGAGCTTCCGGTTAATTCGAACTTACGCTGTGGTCCCGTCAAAGCTATGTGTATTCCAATGGGCGAAAACACCCTGTAATTCGAATGCACAAGCACTTGCGACGATTAATTCGAACATACCGCGCTACGAGAATGCTCTCAGCAGCATACCCAATCCCGCGGCGGCATCTCTCTATGCTGTGCGCGAAAAAAGGAAAAGGAAAGAAAAGACTGTGGCAGATTGTTTGCTCTCTCTCAGATGCCGATCTGCGACACGCCTGTGCCACGCTGCTCCCTTTTCCCTCTCTGCACGTAGAGACCCTTCTCCATTCAAGGCCGCACACGGAGAGAAAGGAGGAAAAAAAGCTGTCGCGGAGAGTTGGCTCTCTTTCTATTGCCGATCTGCTTCTCTCCGCATGGAGACACTCCTCCTTTTTCGGTACAGAGGGTAGAAGTGGAGACGCAGTCGTTTCCGTCATCGTTAGAAGTGTGGCAGCTTGGGCTAGTTGGTATGGCATGACGATAGTTATAGCGCGAGAACAAAACGACGACACAGAGACAAGAAGGACACGTCGTGTCTTTCGTATCCTTCTTGTCTCTGTGTCGTCGTTTTGTTCTCGCGCTATAACTATCGTCATCGTTAGGGAGTGTTGGCGCTGGACTTAGCGACGCGCTATTATGCTTTGCAAACTGCATGTGAAACTGATTGACTCGCTGCAAAAACGTGTCCAATGGCGCATCACAGATTACTTCAATTATTGACGGATGTCCTCCGATTTGTGAATAAATGTAAGTCTTCTGAAGCTTCCCCATCGTGTGTTCTTAAGTGAGAGGGAAATCGCTTTGCACCGCAGCGCCGCTTCTCAGTCATGTGACCCGCTGAGCGCTTCCTCAATCCTCTCCAGTGGCTGTGTGAGGAGAACGGCTCTCTCGGTCTCGCGTGGCGTGGCTGTGAGGTCGGCGCGGGAGATTTGAAAGAGCCGCGTCGAACGAGCGTTAAACTCCGCAGAAAACGATATACTTTACACACAACGGCAATTTTTTATAGACTATTTGATAAAATAATTTAGGTGATTATATCCATTT